TCCACGGCGGTGGTTTACCTCAGTCTGGCTAATTACAGCCAGTTTTGGCCGGTTTTACATGTATTCATGTGAAAAAACCGTTAGAGGGCCTCGATTGGCCATAAAATCAAAAGAAATCGAACCTACTGGCAAAAAATCTTCGGGTGCAATGGCTTCACCGATTCTCCTTAGCAGCTAGAGTTTCTTTTTTGGCTAACCTACATAGAAAAGGATAGTGAACACCATGGTAAAAAAATTGTGTGAAACGAGAAATGAGAAGGGACTTATCGGAGGAATTTTAGAATTTTGGTCGCGGCAGCTCCACCAGGCTATATTCGCAGTTTTCAGCTCGCCCGCCATCCCTTTTGCTCTTATATGGCCATAAGGAGACTTGGAATCGAATTTCGAGCGGGAAGAAAAAAATTTTACCTTTTTTGGCAGTCGGCAGTGGATCCGGTGTGGCGGCAGATAGGAGTCGGTCTCTTTCCCGGCGTCTGGTTCTTCTTCTCCGGCGAGGGCAGGTGCGACTAGAGTTAGGGTTTCCTGAAATATGATGTTTAAATACCCATTAGGCGTCGATCTGAGCCGTCCATTCGCGTCGACGTAGAGTGATGAGAGTCGTCCAACAATTGCCTCTTTAGGCCGATTGTGTGATCGAATCTGTATCGTTCATCGTGATTAATCTTGTACGTCCGATTGTTCCTAAAGAGAAAATGCATTTGAGCCGTCTGTGCGCACGAAATATGATTGAGACCATCAGATTACCAAGCATGCGAATTGCTTGTGTGGCGCCAATGTCAGCATGTTTTGCCACGCAGCATGCTCTGCCTCGTTGTAGCTGCTAACTGGGCCATCCCACGTGGCCAAATTTCTCTTTTTTGTAATTTTACCCTCCCGTTTTAAAGTTTTCTTTTAAAAACATCTCATTTATTCAAAATTTCACCTATTTTTCTTAAAATTATTTTTAATTTCGTTCTTATTTTATTTTTTCTCAATAATTTGAATAAAAATAAAATAAAATAAATTATTTATATAACTTTTATAAATAAAAAAGATTATCCTATACTGATTTTCGGGTTCAGGTATTACATTAATTATTAATTTAAAATAAATTATCATAATTAAATAAAAATTAATTGAAATTTCGATTTCTAAATTTTGATTATCAAAGTGAATAATTAGTTATTTATGTCAAAGTCCGGAACTTAAATGAAAATAAAATCATAAATTAAATGCAGAATCAAAATAATAAAGTTAGGGTTTACATTCCTTACACAATACTTTAAAAGACCCTAAAAATTATCAATTGAGTTGTGCATAGTATAATAGTAACCAAATATAGGTAATACATGAACATAAATAGGAAATTGAAACGATCATGAACTAATAGGTTTCAGCTCTACTAGTGATATGTAATTATTTTTAAGGTCTCTAATTTTTCGTAAAAATATACTATTATTAATTATTAAGCCTCAATTTGCCGTAATGGAGAAAAGGATGAGGGATCTTTACCCAGATCAGTGTTTTCGGACGTCGCATCATCTACTACGCATTCTAATGGGTATCGAATTTTCTAAATTATTCATGCAGAATCTAAAACACTTATTACGTACCTAAAAATACAATAGAAATCCAAAATCAGTGTCCAAAATTTGTTTCGACTAATTTCGGGGTCTCAGCACTTCACTAGCTCCGCTGCCAATGGTGGCAGTTCACCTCAGCCTAGCCAGTTTCGGCCGGTTTCAGCCGCTTTTATACATATCCCTGCAGAAAAATATGTTAGGGGGTATCGATTATGAAAAAAATCAGAAAATGAAAACCTACTAGTGTTGGGATTTTTCAGGTACGGCGGTTTCGCCAGCTCACTTTCGCGACTGGAATTTTTTCTTTGGTCAATCTATAAAAAATAGAACGAAGAACACAACGGTAAAAAAATTACGTAAAACAGGAATCGGAAAGGGGTTCATTAGAGGGGGTTACGAGTTCTGCTTATGGCGCCGCCGCCAGGCTTTGCCCGTAGTTTTTGGCTCACTCGCCGTTTGTTTTGCTCCGATATAGCCACATAGGTACTCAAAATCGAATTTCAAGCGGGTAGGAGAATTTTTACTTTTTTTAGCAGTCATAAGTGGCTCCAGTGCGGTGGCAGTCGGCGGTCGGCTCCCTTATCCGGTGACTAGTTCTTCTTCTCGGACGGGAGGCTGACGGTTAGGGTTTAGATTTAGTATGATGCAAAATATTTATACCCATATTGCGTTAATTTTGATCATTCATCGCGTTTAATCTTGACCGTTCGATGGCGCTTAAGGAGAAAATGAATCTGGACCGTTTATCGCATTTGATCTCGACTGTTGGATTGCACTTAAAGAAGAAATGAATATAAACCATTCATCACAATTTGATCTCGACCATCTAATCACGTTTAAAGGGGGAACAAATCCAGGCTGTCCACACCGCATGATCGATCCTGGGTCGTTCGATCGTAGGGTACGTGGATCACCTGCGTGGCACCGATGTCAGCGTGCCTTAACACACAGCGTGCTCCGATTTATCGGGATTGCTAACTGGACAGTTTTACGTGATAAAATTTTTCTTATTTGCACTCCAAACCCTAGTTTCTGATTTTTCTTTTAAAAATATAATCCCAAACCTAAATTTTCACATCTTTTTTTCAAAATTATTTTCAATTTCATTCATAACCTATTTTTTCTTATAAATTCAACAAAAATTAAAATAAATTAATTTAAAAATAATTTTTTATATATTTAAAATATTAAAATTAATCTCAGACTAAATTCTGGACTTGAATATTACAGTTTATATAAACTTTAATTTAAAATCACATACGAATAATTCAATTTGCTGGACTTTTATCTTAATTTGATTTTTTATTTCGTAGTTAATTTTCACACATTAAAATTAAATTTCTCTCAAATATAATCAAAATTATAAAACTAATGAGAATTATAAAAGCCTATAAGAATTTTTAGTTTGATTAAAATTTATGCAGGTACTAGTGCATAATTTTTTTATTTACAATTTAATTCCAAAGTTTTTGTTTGTTTGTTTTAAATAGTTATTTTTTTATTCTCTAATAAAAAAATTAAAATAACTAAATTTCATTTAAATATTATAATTTTCAATAATTATTTTAATTATTATTAATTTATTAGTTAAAATTATTATCAAATTAATTTTTAAAACATATAAATTTTACTTAATTATTTTAGTTTTTTTCTGTTAAAAATAAAATAAAATTAATCATTCCAAACAATTAAAAAAATATAATAAAGTAAATTATAACAAAAAAATTAAAAATTAAAATATAAAAAGTCTCAATTTTTAAATATTTATTTACTAATTTATATTATTTTTAAAAAAAATTACTTATATATTGGGATTATTTAAAACAAAATTAAGTGGAGACCCTTAACCTTCCAAGTCAGACGACCAAAATTACATACAGCGTGGTAACAGCGCGTGGAGGTCAAACGATATTACTGGATAATTTAATTAATATTATTATATTCACAAAATCGTTTCAACATGATGATCCATCTGTGACTGACCTAAACTGCATTTATTATTTTAAACATGCACATATTATACGCGCATGTTTGGTCAGGTTTATGGACTAAACGACACCGTTTTAATTAAAAAAAAACAAAAACACAGTTTCCCCACGATTCAGAAAAAAAAAAAGTAATCATATATTTGGGACCTCCTCAACTTTTTTAACCCCGGCTTTTCGGTTTACTCAAATATTAAACTCGATTATTCGCACGTGATTGAATTCGCATGTTTTAAACGTGGTTAAAAAAAAAAAGATTAAAAGAAAACAACCACGTGCGTTAACTTTTTATTTTATTTATTTTTGGGGTCAGCCTTTTTGTCGAAAACATTTATTTCCCTTTTTAATTAAAAAATGTTTGTCGATTTTTTTTTTAATTAAGGAAATTATTTCGTGATTTAAATTTATTTAAATAATTATTAAACTTTTTTAAAATATAAATATGGATTTTTTTTTTTTTTTTGTTTAATGGTTTCTTAAAATTATAAAGGAAAATTCGAGGTAGTTAGATCCAATAAAAACAGAGCACAGGTCTTTTGTGTTGTAATCTTGAAGTGTGGGACCCACTGGTCTTTTTCATCAGGGGGAGATTTTGATTTGCAAATCTTACTTATCCTATTCCCCCGCGTGGGTCCCACATATTTCTGGCAGTCAAACAGTTGAATGAGGTTGTTTAGGTCAAAACTTATTTAATAAATCCATTTCAAATTATTATTTTTTTTTTAAAATGTCAATTATTTGGTATAAAATTAAAAAATATATATATATTTTATGGAGGAATTTCAATGTCCATATTTTTTTTTCCTTTTAAAAAAAATTTAATTGAGAGCGAATTTTGATTTGAGGGAAAATAAAAAATGCTTTTTATATTAACAATTTTAAGGAAAAAATTAGCAAAAAAATATACTTTCATTATTTTTGCAAAAACAGAGAATTCCGTTAAAAAATTACAGAAATTGTACAGTTAACTGTCTCTGGAGATCAGCCTGTTAACTATATAAACTACCTCGTCTTGAGACGAAATAGAGGAGTACTAAAACGGTGTAGTATTGCGACTAAATTTTCTTCCTTGAAAGAGAATTCAAAAAATAATTCTCAAGAAAGTACAGGAAATTCCGACGATCTCAAGCTTCAGGAACTGAGAGTGTTGGCAGTGGTGGCGGAATCTGAAGAATCGCCATGGCAGAAATCCATCATCGTTATCCACTCCTGGATGTAGTCTAATTCGCCGATTCCGAATTCTAAGAGTTCATTCTCCTTCCCCTTTCCGAATTCGAAGATTTCCTTCCCCTTTCCGCTCTCCATTTCCGTGGAAAATACGCCATCATTAATCTTCGAACTCTCTGTTTCTTGCTGTTGTTTTTGTTTTTTGAGCGAGGTTGTTTGCTCATTTTCGGCTGGCGGCAGCGAGGTGTAGTCAACGAAGGGGAAATTCAGCTTGGCTCTAGGCCCACGGAAGTCAATAGCGGCGCGGTCGTAGGCTCTGGCGGCTTCCTCGGCGGTGTTGAAGGTTCCTAGCCAAACACGAGTGGCTCTGCGCGGATCTCGGATCTCTGCTGCCCATTTTCCCCACGGCCTCTGCCTCACTCCCCTGAAATTCTTCTTCACCCGCTTTTTTCCCTTCCCTTTCTTATTACCTCCTCCCTCCACCACCGCCGAAGCTGCATCCTGCTGAGTTGGCGGGAAAAAATTGCAACCCAAGCAACCTTCAATCCTGCAAACTTGACACGTGTCCAGCTCCGTTGGAGGCAGTACCGCGTTCCCCGAAGCGGTAAACGACGCCGAATTATTAACGCCGAAAGCATCAGCAGTCGCATTGGTGGATGATTCCGTGCCGGAAATCACGTGCTTCAAGGCGGATACCATGACGGACAGCTCTTGTTCGGGGGAGAGGCGTACGAAAGAGGTTGGAGACGGAATCGGAGTCGGAATTTGAATCGGAACCGTGGGGAAAATCTCCGTCGCCGTCGTTGAAGTCAAAGCCCCGGTAACTCTGGGCCGTTTGAGGGAGCTTTGCATGGATGTGAATGAATTATTCTTCTTCGTTTTTCCAAATTGATTCTTCTTCTTCTTCTTCTGCTCTGCTCTGTAAGTGTTGACAGTTGCTTAGTTCGTTTTGGGAGAGAGAAGGGAGAGTTTTCGCGTTTATATACGGTTTTGATCGAAATTGACACGTGGCAGTGCCAGCTGTCACACAAAGAGCACACGGACTTGCGAGGGTTCGAGGCACGTGCAAAAATCAAATCCGGATATTCCTATACTAATAAAGGGTGAAGTAGCTCCTGTGACGATACGACCCATAGCGTGACATGGACCATGACGTCATCGCATGAATAGACGCGGGAAGCGGATGTCGCTTTCAAGTTCCTTATAATCGGTAGTTACAAAAATGTGGGGACACGGTGTCTCGCAATTAGCCTTTTCTATTTATAAATGAAAGGCCGACTGCTGCTGATTCTGCCACTGAAGCCTTGGAAGTTTCTAAACTTCAGATGAAATTTATTTTATTTTATTTTACAAATATGTAATTTTTAAATATTTAAATAAATAAATAAATACGTATAAATATGTAAATTTAGAAAATAAAAATAAAAAATTAACTAGAAAGTTTGACTTGGCCTGAGGTCAACAGGAAACCAATAGACAGAATACGTTGGGTATTGGCCGGAGGGGCGCTGTTTGAATAAAGGGCACAGCTGGCACTTTTCCGCATGCGTGATTGGACGCCTTCGGCTCTGAAAGTTTAAACGACGCTGACAAAAACACCACGTGCCTATTTTGAGCAAATTATGAATTTAATTTCTTTTTAAAAAAAAAAAAAAACCAATGGGAATAAAAGTCAATGAAAGTCAAAACGTAGTATGAAATGAAATAAATAATAGTTTTTATATAAAGTTTGAACATAATAAAGTTAAGAAATTAAATAATAATAGCTAATTATTTATTTAATTTATACAAATTATTCACACTAAATGTTAGGGGAGAAGATGATGTATGAAATAATTATTTTTATTTTTTTCAATTCATGTATAACGTTGGATATAAATATTTTGTTATTTAATTTTTTTTATATTAACCAAGTACGAAAGGAAATTTTGTTATTTTTATAAAAAAATTTATAAATCAGATATTGAAATAATTTTTGAAGTTAAAGTGTCAAAATGTGCATTGTTCGAACTTCTAAGTTAAACAGGTGGTGAAATCCCATAAAGGATCCGCTGTTTTGTTCTGTATGTGTGCGTATATATATATATATACATATCCGTTAAGATTAAAAATAAAGTAACCCTATATATATGAGGTGTGCGTGTGTTTGTGTTTTCTTTTCCATTACTACGTAAACCTCTTCTTTTTTATATAAGAATAATTGAGAAGAACATAGGGAAAACAAAGAAACCCTAATAGGGTTTTCCAAATAACTTCAAAAATATATTTATAATGCCAACCATATTTACACTAATATTATACTAAAAAATAATACTCAATATAGCTTTTTTTTTCATGATCATAAAATACTTTTTCTTTATGTAATATCTATTTGAATCACATGTACTGAAAAAATAATATAAATAATTATAAACATTTAGTTTATAATTGAAGCAAATCTAAAAATAGTATAAATTATAGAATTTATTTGTAAATTCACATTTATTTTACTTATAGTAAATATAAATCCCAATTTCATATGAAATTAGTTTATATAAAATTTTAAAACAATTAAAAATTGTGGTATCATTTCAAAATTTGTACTTATTATAACCATGATGCTATATTATAACTGTATGGTTAATATCCATAACTATTACTATTAAAATACTTCTATGTTATAAAATATTTAACTCGATTTATAATTATTGTATTTAGAGGGAATTATTTTGTCCGGGGTTAAAAAGCATGATAGGGAATATTGAAGTTTAACACCACGTGATCTTTTTTAAAAGAAGTTAAACATGAAAAATGCGAGGAACAAATAATAATTACTTCGGAAATCATCAAGAGTGAAAAGTACCGGGTCGGGAAACATCCGAGACCTTTTGGAATCTAAGCATAAAGTTCGTCACGACCCTAAAAAAAAAAAAGAACAGAAAGAAAGAAAAAGTGATGCTAGAAATACCAAGATGTGTAAATTGTGTGGGAGTTGAAATAAAGCACGTGCTCAAAGAAAAGAGAACAGAGGAAAATTAGAGAAAGAACAGGTGTTCTGACAATTGAACCCACATGTAAACTAAAACGGAGAATCAGAACGCATAAAACGGTGACAAAGATTCGCTTTCATGACAGAAGGGCAGTGACTGTCGACTCCAGTGCGCGCGCTCTCACGCAATTGACCAAGCTGTTGAGGAATAGGCGAATGGGGGTTCAGGAAAATGGATGTTACTCACTGACTCACAGGTTTCCACGAAGCTTTTGATGATCGTCATTGAAAACACTAAAAACAACGAGTATTTTGATATATACATATATATATATATATGTAGATATAGGTATAGATAGAGTTATGTTCCTTTTTTGGTTTTGCTCTCTATTGGACAATACACGTCGGATATCGAACTTGTGTCAGGTAATTACACAAGTGGAGCCACGTGGGTATTTACCAAATCCAAGGCTAAACAGGTTATTGGGTGGTTCTGGAGTACGACCGAGGTTTATAATCTTAAATTTTATAGCAAACTCTCTGGATTGCTTTCATTATTTGATTTCTTTTTTCATTTTTAATAGTTTTAGTACTCTTGTTTGATTACTAATAACAGAAAACATGTGTAAACAAAAAAATAATTAATTTTTTTGTAATTAAATAAATTATCTTAAAAAATAAATAATAAATAATAAAATCTAAAATACAAAAAAAAAAGGAAGCTGAAAAAACCTTTCAATAAGACTTTATAAATAATAAAACCTAACATACAAAAAATGGACTATCTATTAAATGTGCATCAAATTTTATGAGGACTTAGTATACTTTAAAATTAATAAATTTTTTTAACTTTTCAATGATTTAGATAATTTAATCAGAACTACAAATTACTAAAAATTTAACAGGAACCGTGCCCCATCTACAATAATTTTTCTTAAGGCTCAAGTCTACGAGTAACAAGGAGTAATGTGGACCAAGTATTTTTCTTAAGAAAAAGTGATGTTGTGTCATTGTAACGTAGGCAATTCAGTTGTCTCCACGGTAAACATTGCAGTTAGGTCTGTTTCTCTTAGTTCCAGGGGTCTAACTAGCAAGAGCATCATCAATGGTAACAAAATATTAAGTCCACCATCAGAAAGAAAAAGTCAAGATTTACTTTTACTAATTCTAACAGTAAAAAAATTCAAGTTACCCTAACATTTTAGGTCAAGGCAAGAACGACTCTTATAAACCTTGTCGAAGGTAGTAAATAGTATGGCTTTCCATCCGAAGTAACAAACTAGGGTAAAAAAAATTTATTGAAAACCAGAAAGATTTGTCGTACATATGCACCGGTTTTACATAAACCATGTACATGTATATATAATTTGCGTGTTTGTACATTGCCAAGTATATATTAAAGATAATTTTGTGGGTGAGACATATTTTCCTATTTTCAAACTTTTATTATTAGACATTGTTTCTATTTCCAACTAAGACATTTTATGCATAAGATCGGTGTAGGAAATAAAACCAGAAGATATTTTCCATGCACTAAATGGAGCCAAAACTTTTTTTCTTTCTGTCTATTTTTCCCCCTCTTCATTCCTTTCCATTTCCCGTAAAAATTCTATATCAAAACAAGAGTTTTCTCAGCGAAAATTATTATACAGAAATTGCCTATTATTTGTACATCAAAGAAAACAAGAAGAGATTCGCCTGATGGTCTGAGCACTACCGCCTCCCAACTCACCACATGAAGTATTGATGAAAAACTGAAGTAGAACAAAATTTTCAACCATCGGGTAAATGATCAATCTAGTTCAGAGACAAACCTACAAACAAGCGAAAGTAATCTCTTCCATGGCAGACATCATCAGAGCACATGAAAAATGCTGAACAAAGTCATCAACCTAGTCGTCATCCTCAGAATCTACAGGTAAAAGCCAAAAAATCAGCTTTTTGGCAAACACGTTAACCAAATCATATGTTCCAAAATGCCGGTGCCTCGTGGACGGAGATGGACAATGCACGAGATAAAGAACCTAATGTAATAACCTTCCCCGGAAAAACTGATGATGATGACCCAGGAAAGTTCTCTTGATGTTGATAAGCAGCTACATTTTTATAAATAAAAAAAATAAGCAGCTACCATTGTATGTTAAAAAACTAAAAGCTTACCGGATCTTATGTCTTCACCAACTTTTCCTCTATTTTTCAGCTGTCTCATTATCATTGCGCATATTAAGACCCACCAATATATGTGGAACACAAGTAGCATCAGTAACATTGTATTGAAAATGTAGTACAGGGACCTGGGATAAGGCTCCGAGAGGTTCAAGCAGTCCCGAACTTTATAACTAGGAAATAAGAAGAAAACACATAAGATAAAGTAAAACATTATGACAAGAAGCATAAGAAATCAATAAGGGCCAACCTAGAAGCTCTGATAATCCAAAATGGAAAGAATATTAATCGCAGAAGAAGCCACGAGATGGCAAATAATCCAAAGCACACACTTGCACCAAGCTCCTTGTCAGAATATTTGAAGATTTTAGCAGCTTCCATAAATACATCACTTGCATCATGAAGGGCGAGGATGATTGAGCCAATACGGAAAAAACTGTAAATGAACAAGTCATTATATATTTTCTTTTGCTGAAAAAGAAATTGTTAAGAATCCAATATGTGGTGCAGTAGTGTAAAGAAAATGCTAGGGGTGAGAATTAAAGTCTACTTCGAAAGAATTTTAGATGTGACAAGAACATTATAATGTAATTCTACTTATCATGATTGGAGGAATAAAGTAAGAATTGAACCTAACAGGATGTAGCAGTAAAATACGTGCTGCACCATGTTGTATTTCTGAAGAAAAATCTTAACAAGAATCCTTTCGGTGAATAGTTTTTAGTCAAGCACAGATTTAAGAATGCATTATCTAGATGATGTTTTGCAATATCGACAAAAAGCTAGAGTCATTAATTTAAGCAGATTTTACTAAAAATAAAATAGAAAATGATGAGCAGAAGGTGGAAGAGAAGTAAACGTGACAGTGCTATACTTGCATGAATTATTGCAGAGTAATAGTGTAATACACAGCTAAAATATCCCAAAACTTTTCAATTAACCAGGCACATGTATATGTTCTTCCTATAGTTTGCAACAAAAGTTTCGGTACTGCATAGGACTGGGAAAATTGCAGCTTGAATAGAGAGATTATAGTAATCAAATGTTGCAGCAATAATAGCTAGCATATCCAAGTGCAGGATAGATACTGGCCAAAATAATAGTTTCTACTAAGTCAAGAACATCTACAAACAGACATGTATCATCCAATATACTTGGTAGCTTTGCCATATAGAGTGATAGAATTAATGGGAAAACTATCAAAAAGCTGAAATTGTTAGTGGTCCTGATTCTCATTATGGGATTTCATTAATAGTATAAGCTAGTAACGAGAGAACCAACGATCTCTAATTTTTACTAATAATGTGGGCTCATTAAGAGAGAACCCATGATCTCTTGAGTAAGTACTTCAACACTTTTTCATAAATTTCTTCTTGCCTAAAAATTTTTCAAAGAAAAGAGTATGTATTTATACAAGAGGAAAACTAATTATCTGGAAGTTATTTCTAGAATTAGCTACCTCATTGTCCTTATCTAGACTTAATTCTCCCTGAATACACATGTCCATACCTGACACATTATTTTACATATAACACATATTAACCTATTCTTCCCAATGCACGTGTCTACCCACTTAACACATCATTTATTCTCCCTAATACACCATAACATTACCCATAACATTACTCCCTCCTAGAAAAATTGCACTTGTCCTCTAAGTGCAAAATTTCTGCTGCTGCTATAGTTTCAAGTTCTAGTAATGCTGGAACTTCAGAATTTTCTTCATCGTTGGAACCATCAAAAAGGGGAAAGTCCAGTTTGGTCTAAAGAGGCCGAAAGGGGCGCTTAGTATGTTGATGGTTCCGGGCCACTGACAGTTCGCATTGAGCGCGCAGAGACACGTGCAGATCTGCACTGTGATGCAGAGGGGTCTGCTTGCACCGGAATTTTTCTACCTCACGCAGATCATGCATTGTGGATTAGTAACCCTTGTGCAGCTTAACTGATGGTAGTCCGCTTGGCTGCTTGCTTAGCCAGATTACTTCAGGGCTGTTCTGGCTAATAATTCTTCCAATCTTCCCGCCAAAAATTTAAACTTCAATTTATCCAGTTCTATAAGTTTGTAGAAATTTTTTAGTTTTTTGAGTTTTCCTACCTTTACCTATATTTTGAAGTAAATTAGGACTCGCTAAGAGAGAATCCGACTAAGAAAGTACTCAATACTTCTCCATAAATTTCTTCTTGCCTAAAAATTTCTTAAAGACAGCCTGTATTTATAAAAGAGAAAGAGTAGTTTTCTGAAAGTTATTTCCAGAATTAACTATCTCCTTGTCCTTATCTAGAATTATTGTCCCTAATATACATGTCCATATTTAACACATCATATTACACATAACACATACTGACTTATTCTCTCCAATACACTTGTTCACTCACTTAAGCACATCATTTATTCTCCTTAACACACCATAATGTTACCCATAACAGATATATACCAAACAGGAAAATTTGAGAGCAATTTGCAGAAGCAAGAGAAGCTTCTACAGCAATTTATAATGTTCCTCTTTACCAATTTAAATTCTTGATATATTTCTCTAAATCTTGTACTCTAAAAAAATAACCATCAAAAAGCTTAAACTCTGCTTCAGAAAGCGGATGCTTTCTTATGCTTTTGCCTCTTAAATTTAGATAATAATTAAAATATAGATGTGTCAAAATATTTATTACCAAAGAGAAATCCAGAACCCAAAAACAAACATACCAGACAACTGAAAATATAAGAATTACAAAGATAAGGAACAATGATATAATGCAATATCTTTTAGAAACTGATTACAAAAAATTAGTATAGAATAAGAACATTTCTTAGATTCACCAAAAGTTTCTACAATTAGTTTGTAAAACATATTTTCCATAGGGTAGTGCTTGTAATTCAAGCAAAACAACAAACCTGTTGATAGAATATGCTAATATTGCTAAACTTCCAAAGATGAAGCAGCTGCACATTTTGAATCGATAAAAACAGGTTTCAAACTATCAATAGTTGTGGAGCCATTACAATACAAACTTAAGGAAACGCAACTGCTGAAAAGTGCCAGCAGGATTACCAAAATACCTTCTGAGATGTACAGGTTTGAATGGAAAAAAAAATATTCAAAATTATAAAATATGAAGAGAGAGAGAGAAAGAGAGAGAGACAAAATAATGTGACACCAAAAGAAACTATTAAATGAAATTTCTCAAGAAAGAATGAAAAACTACATGAATACTTCGGATTATGCTATGATAATGAGCATGTTACAATCAGTGTTCTTAGAAAAAAGCTTATATTTTACCTTGTAAAATAGGAATATGCAATCAGGACAACAGTAATTACATGATGAGACATCATGACAGAAAAATCCTTTCTTCGAGTCTCCCATGTGAGTAAGGCAGCAATGCTGTATATATAGAACCCACATTGGCACATGTAAAAGAACTTAAGCGGAAGCCTGCAATGAGAGGTGAAACAAACTTAAGGACTTTTTCTATGTTATTAACTCATTTAGACTCTAAACTTCCTGAAAATTAATGGTGCTAACAACTTTCTGTTTATTTCAAAAGCAAGGAATAAGCCCCTTGTTTGAGTTCAAACTTAATGCAATATATTATTTGGAATCATCCTGCTTGCCATCCCAAAATAATAAGTCAAGAAAAGGTAAACATATAACAGAAATTAAGAAAGGGAGTCATGAAACTGCAAAGACTCTAAAGATATATATCAGACAATAAAGCATCTACAAGATAAACAAATTTCAGTTCATGTTAGAAAGTAAAGTAACTTTCCTTGTTTTCTAAGCATTTTTCAAGAAGGTTCATTTCAGAAAAGGGAAACAACTAGTTCCAGATAGGACATAAAAAGCAGCCAGACAGAAGCAAGTAAGCAGACTCACAGGAAACAGCATATTTCTGTTAAAAGCTTTGGTTTGTCAGTAAACAAGCACCTCTCTCCCGCCCACAACAGTAATATAATATACATATATAAACAAAGGAATTGCAAGGCATTTCATATATGAAACAGCAGGGTTTTTGTTAAACACAACACACATATCCTGCTATCCTAATGCACGTGGAAGAGATGGTATTTAACTATTTGAATTCTTCTTTAAAGAGGAGCTAAAGTTATTTGGCCCTCTAACAAAATAATGCGAGAACAAAACTAATTAACAGATCAATTTATAGACCTAGTAGGAAGGAACATTGCAGCTAGTAGCTACCAAATACTAAAAGTTGTCTGTGTTGAATATTGAGCTAACTATGCATGATTTTTACTACGCATTATAGACCAAAGTACAATGTTGATTATCTAGCAGGTGCTTAAAAAATAGTAGTATATGAATTACTCACCTTAATTCTTGATCTGGCCAGCCAGTAAAGTACTGGTCTATATCATAGAACCACGGCTCGTTGTAGGTAGTTTTGAGAATTAAAATTTCAGCTGCAGCATAGTATGTTAGTTTCCATAGAGATTCTGAGCATTTTACAAGTTTTGCTCGTGTAGTGTCATTAACCTTCAACGAGACAGGTCCAGCATTCAGCAACCAGATCGCCAACCTCTGAAAAGATACAAAATATTTAGAAACAGTCAAAAATTAACCTCAGCAAGTATGTACTATATCAAGGAAGCTATTGGGTCAAAAAACATTCATATTCTGATTTTGGGTGAGAGTATGTATGATTTTCAGATTATTGTCCCACAGCTCTATGGAAGCAAATCTCTGGTCCCTTTTAGTATTGATTGAGGTTTGCAAGCAGAAACTTCGTACATCTTTCTACCTTGATAAATAAAGGAAAGAAATATTAGAAAATCAATACATTAGAAAATGTTCAAATGTTTGTGTTTATCTATAAGATTTACTACCATCTTGAAGAGGATATTCTGGGATGTGAGCAAACAGGTCAATATTTAAAAGTGAATTGTCAGTTGTTCAAGAATATGATCCCATACATCCTTCTAATGCCACATCCAACAAATCGTTTGGCACTTATCCTAGCAATTAAATGTTGAGACACACCAAGGTTTACAATCCATGGAATTTTGAATAACTGCAAACACTGAAGTGGAGAAAAGGTTGCAATCTATGAAGGTCTTCCAATGGCTGCTAAGAGGTGTTCTCTTAAGCATCCTTACATACACAACTACGGTTGTTCAGAACTTCAAAACAAATCTAGCAGAAAGATTTCATAGATTTGTGAGAACTGAATAAAGAACCACGATGGATATCTAGCGCTAGGCCATAACCTTCTTTCATTTTCTCACTGTTAATAAATTACATTTTCTAAAAAGAACATATTACTTTCTGGTGAACATGCATTTGCTCTGATTTTTACTAGAAAGATATTGCCTCTTTAATAAGAAAAATATAATGAGGACATGTGTTTATTGCCTTCAGTTTGTTAACTTTCACTTTATCCAACCAAACCAATTATTTTCTGTGGAAGCATATTGAAGCTTTTTCTACAACAATTTCAAACTATTGAACATTAGACTCTGTCATTTATCAAATCCTAAAGTCAATCTAACTGAACCTCAACAGCCATAGCTTCGACAAAATAGAATTTGTCTTCATTATTTGAGACACTATCTGTAAGATTAAACAATTAATACACTTCCTTCCAAAAAATTTCTCAACACCAGCCATGACGCAGAGTTTATGCTCAACTTATTACAATTAAGGAAAACGATATAGTCATTATCAAGCTATTGAGCCACAATAATTAAGAAGAGCAGTATAAACATTATCAAGCCAATGAGCAGATTCAAGCTTTTCTGTTTTTTCTGTTCATATTCTGCTAAACCTTTTCAGAAAGACTAGTCAAATGCCTAAGCCAAACTAGTCTCCAATATCGATGGCCGTGGCATGTAACATAAGGAACTGCGATTTGTTCAGCATAATTGCTTAGTTTTCTGATGACCAGATAAAAACACAAGAACCTCAATTCTACTAAATTTAAGAGGAGCTAAAGAAAATCCAAAACCTGGCAAGCAACAAAAACAATGAGGCAAACCACAAACGCAGTGAAGAATAAATTAAATGTTTAAACTAATGCAGGTAAAAGTAGAATACAGCAATTTGTTACAAAATTGCAACGAATAGATTATAACGAAGTTTATTGTGTGTCTGTTAGGCTAGCTAATCAATTAGGTAGTAGCTATAACCCAGTGTCATTCAATAACCATTTAGAAAATAGAACTTTGGAATTTCTTTCTTCTCCCTGAGGTTCTGGCTCCCTGTTGTCTCTGGCCTTCTCTATAATGCCCTCCTGATTTCTCTTGTTTTTCCGTTGACTACTCTTCCATTCTCTCTTCCTAATTCATCATGCATCGGAAACATTATCATATCATAACTAATATAAGATTCAAGTTGTCCATTGAAACAAGAAGAACAAACACGGCTTTTATCATCTTCACAACCTGAAAACAGACCGCACAAAAGAGAAAAAATCTTACGCGAAAGATGAACCTGTCGAGGAAGAACCTGGCGACGATGAAACTGAAAGCGAAGTAGATAGAGACCATTATGTGCCAACCTTCCGGCCTACCACTTGAACTCCAGAACGGTTCCATTTCCGAATTGCCAACACGGTTTCACAATGAAGTATAAAATCATCAACACATCAACGAACTTCCTCAAATCGATAAACTCGATTCCCCGCCACCAAAATCAAATGCTGAACCTCGAACATGGCCAGCACTGAGCTTCTTCCATGGCGGATAATGCGATTTCTTTTTGCCCTAATTCCAACGGAGAAAAGGTAAAGATGAACCTGGAGAAACAGAGACAGAGAGAGAGAGAGAGAGAGAGAGAGAGAGAGAGAGAGAGAAGGGAGATGGACACAGGAGATATATGCTGGCTGGGACTACGGACGAGAGAGAGACAACGGAAATGTGGAAGGTGGAGGTTAAGATCTCGTGAAGGATTAATTATTTATTTAACAAACAGGATTTGGCTTGCCTCATTTGATGGATGCCTCGCATCATCACATCACCAGGGTTAGCCTTCCGAAAAAGCGGGTCCTCTTAGCTGCGTATCGTGATGTCACGTGGCGTAAATCTTCTCAAATTCGATCAAATTTTGTTAAGTTACTTTTTATTATTTTCCAATTATTTTGCTCACTAATCATATTATACGTTCAATACACGCAATCAAATAAACTTTCTTTAGTGCTTTTCAAATAAAATTACATTTTTTTCTTATTTTATAAACATAATATTATAATATCAATTAAGACATTTTTATTTTTTAAAATATCACAAATACAAATTTTAACAATTTTAAAAATATATTATAAATTTATAATATTTATTTTAATAAGATCAATAATTTAATTCATTAATATTATTATGAATTATAATAAGTATATTAAATTAAATTTCAACTAATATATTATATTTAAAAACAAAATAAATATTTTGTAAGAAATTAAATTTATTTAAAATAAACATAAATATATTTATTATATTCATAACATTTGTTGAATGATAATAAATTATAATTAAGTATTAAAAATTTATACATTATTTTAAAATATAAATTATTAATATAAGTAATTTATTATAAAATCAACTTGAATTTAAAGTTGTTTCACGACGTACTTATTTTTTTCATAAAATTTTAAATAATAATAAATGTTGAAAAAAGAAAACAACGGTAAAATTATTATATACTATAATATATAAAATAATTATTTTATTATTATAGAAATAATTACTCTTATAATCTTTTAATTTTACTATTATCAAAGTTGTTGACATATTATGCTTAATATTATAATTGTCAAAATTACTTTTTCATCCTACTTATTATTAATTAATTGATTTTTTCACTCATTTTTAGCGCATAGTTTCAATAATTATAAATTTATAATTTTTAAATATGATACAATATTATGTAATTTTACATCATCTCGTATTATGTAAAAAATAATAATATAATATAATATATATTTTAGTCAAAATAATATTATGATTCATTTATTGGCATATAAATATAAGAATTTGCAAAAAAAAAAAAGAAAGTAAATATATTGTTATAAATAATGTAATTTATACTAAATTACATATATAATAATTAAAATATAAATTAAATGATAACAAAAATTATTATTATTTTTTATTACATTATAATATACATTAGTTTTACTTATAATCAATAGTAAAAATTGAATATTTATTTTAAACTATAATTACAAAAGAAAATAAAATAAATGTATAAATAAAGTTTTTATTCCATCAACCTAAGATCCGTTCATTTAATAAAACTGAGATGGGGGACCTGAAAGGGACAGTTGGTGGGGCTTGAGGTGGAAGCAACGTACAACTTTAAAAGCAACAGTCTATTATAAAATGAAGTGTTTATTATTTAAAGTTAAGTGTTAAATCAAATAACAATTTGAAATTATATTATTTGACTAGCATATAGTCATAGGAGGTATTTAATTTTTAATGTGAACAAATTTTTTATATACGTTAGTGTAAGGGATGTTAAATCAAATTTTTATTACGCTTCCGCATTTGACCTTTTTAATATATATATTTTATGTTAAAATTTCCGGGGCCGTTACAGCACGTGTCCCAAAAAATCCCAAATTAGACCTAGGCCCCTTTCGGCCAATATTGTAATTCCGGCACGGCGGCTCCGTCGTGCTCTGGCGACGGCGATTCGCCTCGGGTTGGCCGTTTTCGGCCGTTTCTGGCCGAATTCGGCCACACTTGCATCGGTCCATGCGATAAAACAACCCTAGGGCCCTCGGGGGGCCAAAAAATTACGGAAAACCGAAGCTTACCGGCGGCTCTCCGGCGAAGTTCGTGTTTTGGTGATTCGGCTCCGATCAACCTGTAGAGAAAAGAATGG